ATAAATCAAGTAGAGCTAATATTACAAACAATGAACAAATCATTTTCAGTTTCATGATGATTGAGTTTTTCGTAGACGGTTACTCTGTCGTGGAAGAGTTACAGTTGTTTGTATGATAAATGAAAAAGGGTATAAAATATTTGTGTTGACTATGGTTCCGTTAACCTTTCCTATTTATGTAGGCATAACAAGATAATGCAATTAAAAATAATTGATGAAAAAAGCTCTTTTTTCTTCTTCTGATCTCTTTTTATTTATTTCGTATTTTTATTCATGTCTTTTCTACTGAAAGTTTATTCTTGCTCTTTCTTAAGGATATAGATAAGTAGGATGAATAAAAAAGTATCTAAACATATTTTCTAACTATGCACGTAACTCCACTCCATCATATGTATGCGTGTGATACGGATAACAACGATTTATGCGGACAAAGAATAATCTATAAAATCTGTTCGACTTTTGACAAAACTCTTTGGAGCGCACATATGTTGCATGATCCATAGCCGAAAAAAGGATGGATTTTGATCCAACTCAATACAGGATACAAAGTGAGCATAGTGAGAACGTTTCGGCGTTTAACGGAAAATGAAATTGAAGGATCTGCATGATTACACTACTTTTAGCAACCCTATACATACTATTACTATATATCAATCAATTCGTTTCGTCATGATCCATAACTGGTGTGTATAATACAATAGATCCGCGATAATTTGTGTAGTTTTTTAGAGTGAACACGTTGTAAGCGAGAAAATTTCCTCCGTCATGTTTTGGCCGTCATTCAAGAATGAAAAAACATGTAAATGCACCACATCCTAATATTTACGTTTTCATTGATTTACTGCAGAAAGAACAATCGTTAGCATCATTAGCAAGATTACGGGATGATATGGGTGCCCCAGCTCCAAAACGTCGAAAAAATAAGATAATAACAGATGCATGTTTAGTAAAATTATGGCAACGCTACGACGATGGACGGATGGATATTCTAAATTTCTTAAAGGCTGCTGGTATGAGATACTTCCAGTGTCCTTCCAAAAGTTGATCTTTTTTTCTATTTTCTGTTTTTCTTTCATACCCATTAATTAATAAATTAAGTGAATACTTTTCCAAATCAGTGGAAAGTATATACTGCTTAATTAGTA